TTCACGCCATACTTTTTAATAAAAGAAAGTTAAGCTGTAGATGAAATATTCGTCCATAACCCAATTGATTAGTTTGGTATAAACCGTTACAGAGCTATATACCGGAGGGTCGTCCCGCTTAAAGCAAGAAACGTTTCGTCCTATTTTGTATTATTTACGAATATAGTTACAGCTTATTATATAATATTTTATTTCATAACGCTCATCATTGACCGTAGAAACTAGTGAGCAGTATATGTTTCGTCAACCATTCTGTCCATAAATAAAGAGAAGGGAAGAGAAGTAGATTCCGAGCCATTATTAACAGCGCTTTCTAAACATTATACGACTTTGCGTTGCTCTGACTCGCTGCCCTTTCTTGATTGACGTACAAAACGGCAAGCGGTGTATGCGCGCTTAGTGAAATATGACGAGATATACTTAGATATTAATTATGACGATAATCCTAAAATGCGTTGAACTACGTCATAATCTTTCAAATTGATTAATAATTTTTCACTTTTTTGTATTACTCACTCATATTTCTATAAAGCCACAAACAATTGTATGAATGTAATATAAAAACATTAGACCAGCTTAATGTTAGGTTGCATGTAGTAAGCTTTGGCTTATCGAGTCACCTGATGACAACTTTTACACGGTGTATACTTTCTGCATGTGAATATATAGTATATATATATATATATATATATATATATGTACGGTTTGTGTATTTTATCGATTTTTACTTACCGTCCTAACGTACTTTACTCAAACAAAATGTTGTCATTTGTCACATATAAAAATGTTGACGCATATTTAATAATTTGCATTTGGATCTTCGCCTGTTGTAAAAATTTCGTAAGCAAGCAAGTAAAGTAGGATGCAAAAGGTAATACAAGCATACACGCACCTGGACTATGTGGCAAAGTAAATCTTTTGCGTCATCCACGATGAAGTATATTCGGTTTATTAATCATTTGTAACGCATCGGATATATATATCTTTTTGATCTTAATATAATTAATCCGAACCTACGTCTAGGAGTGTGCTTCGCTAAAAACTCAAAGTTACAATCTTCAATCTTGTCTAGAAGAACAAATATCGTCTCAAATGTCTTTTTACTGCTGCTGCGAAGAAGTGATATGTATATATATTGTGAGAATATATATATATATATATATATATTGTAGCGTATCCAATGGATATTTCAATTCGCTATAAAATATTACAAATTCTCAATTGAGGAAGAAAGTCTTGTAACTTGGTAGAGCAAAAAAATTTGGGCATTAAAGTTTTAACCATATTTGATAAGATATTATATAAAATTTTTCTCCATTTTCGAGCTTGGCCAATAGCCCAGTTCTCATTTTAATTTTGCGCCTGCAATAATTTTCAATAATAAAAAATAAAAGGAATATGACTAAATGGCTAATGGGCTAGCTAAGTGGCTCGGTTAGGAAGTTGAATAGGGCAGCAATCGAGACAATTCGTTATGGTTGTTTTCGTTACCCTTATGACGGGATAATTTCTATATTTGCTATCGAGCTGCATTATAGCGGGATGTCTAACTGAAGAATCTCTAAATCTTGCCAAGAAGATGAAAATTTAGACTTATACTTTCCTACAGTTATATTCATATAACGATCTTTCAGAATAAGGCGTTATATGAGAAGGTGCTCGAAAAAATTATCCGATCCGATGCATTTTTAATAGCGCTTATCCTAGGACCACAACACGAAAATGTACCAAATTTCGTCAAGATATCTCAAAAATTACGTCTTGCAGGTTGAACACAAGAATTCAAGATGACCTGGACATGTTAAGACCAATTCAGAAAATGATTCTGAATTGATCGATATAATAAACGATAAGTCTCTCTCAAAGCCTTCTAGATGTTGTATATACGCTCATCCCTTGTAGCTTCCTCGCTTTATGCAATTAATCGCTACAATGCTTTACGTATTTCGTATGCCGCGTCAAAAAAAGACCCTATTACTGCAAACAATAAACAAATTCCTTAATGCAGTACAATGACCATAAATAAAAGACTCCTTGTTTAATCTTTCAGAAATTTCGAGACACTTTGTCCATATAATCGCTTTAAACGACGTCAGTTTTGCATCAATTACTTGCAATCTTTCATTCGCACTCTATTGTCATACACATTACATCACAAAGTTTATTCATTTTTTTTATGAAATGATTGCAATGCATAGTCTAAAGTCATTAATTGAGTTTCGATGAATTAGTGGGCGGAATAAGCTAAATGCAATATGTTACTTAAATGTCGATGGTGCGGTCCAACTAAATAATAAAATATATAATAATAATGAATAATTGAAATTTCCATTCCGTATATATGAATCCGGTTCCGATCTATTTCTATTGTCGATATCGAAAAATTCAAATATTTCTCCTATGCTCGTACTTTAAGATGATGGGATGATTGAAATAAGATGAGTTTAATGGCAGTTCTTTAATATTAGCGGAAACCTTTACACTGAAAATAATAGGTTCTGTCAATTGTTTAAAGTCAGCAACGCTTAGCATTAGATCGTATCTATTTGCCATGAAAAATAACATGGCCATTACAATCAGTGGCAATCGCTGTTGCGTCAAAATTGCCGATTAGAAGGAGATCAGCGAACAAAATTACAGCGATTGGAGCAAGAGAACGCCACACGCCTCATAACCGATAAAGCAATGTGGGCATTAAAAACGCAGTTCATATGGATATGGTGCTATAGGGAACAAATAGCGCTGCTTTTACTTTCCTTAACTACAATATGTTGAAGCATGTTGAAGCAAACAATTGGAAAACTCCCATTGTCTAAGATAGAAAGAAATTCATAAGCTCTAGTTTCTCTCATATATGGACGGTTGAGTTGGTAATAATGAATATCTATATTATTAAGGAAAAGTATATGGTTGTGTGTGTGTTGTCAATTTATGGATATAAAATAAATTAATTATGGGTATTATAGTAAAACAGAGGTATTATTTATTTTTCTTCTTTTTTTTTTTTTTTTTTTGTTAAATCAAGTTCGAAATTTCCAAAGAGAGGTTTTGGTTAATCATAGATTGTTCCATGTGTAACATGGGAAGAAAGACGGCCAAAAAAAGAAGGGAGAGAGAGAGAGAAAAGAAAGAGAGCTAGGGTAAAATAAACGTGGCATGATTTATAAATGACATGTGACCTTGAAATGGTTTTTTTTTTATTTTATTAACCAGTTACAAATGCAAATATTTATCTTTCATTTCTTTAGTTTTTGTGTTTTTTTTTTTTTTTTTTTTTTTTTTTTTTTTATCTTTTTACAGAAAAATTATAAATTCTCCACACACTACGTGCGGCCTTAATTGCTACATTCAAGCTTTACACGTACAGTGAGTCTCATTAATGTTGGGTTTTTCCGCTCGACAAAAACACGTTCTGATATATTTTGTATAATTTTTCTTGTATAGGAAACAGGGATCTTGCTCCATTCATCCTGTAGTCTATTTTTCACATCTTGGACGAAAGAGATTAAGTGTTCTGGGGGTGATGGTAAAGAGAGTATAGCGCTTTGCAGAGCAGTTATATAAAAGCCATTCTTGAATTAAGCGGGACTTAGGCTTGAGGTCTTCGTCTTGCTAGCATTTGAACGTCGTCAAAATAATAATTTTGTCCCCACTTTCTTTCAAATTTTCCTTGAATATTCTTAAATAATCCTCCTCGTAAAGAATGCCACCCATAAATATCAATTTTCCGGCTAAATTGTCTCTAACGTACTACAATTTGCGAGATAACGTGTTTCTAAGTTCATTTTTTTCGTCGTACCACTAAGAATTGGTGTGTTTTGCCTGGCAATTTCTAGTCTTAGCTTCCTATTATGTTCTTCTATCAGCGGCTTAAAGCGAGCGTAGCAATGGTCTTATTATAGTTTGGTATGCATTTGGCCAATGGAGTCGAGAAATGGATGTTTACGGATGCCATTGTAAACAAGGAGGATTATTTAAGGACATTGAACGAAAATTCAAAAGAAACTATAGACAAACTTGGTCTTCTCGAAACATTCAAATTTTACCAAGACAAAGACCTCAAGCGTAAGTCCCACTTAATTCAACAATGGCTTTTATATAACTGCTCCAAAGCGCTTCACTCTCTTCCTCCTCATCATGTGGAATGAATTGGACCGACGGTTGCGAAAACATTCAATCTCTTCCGTCCAAGATGTGAAAAATAGACTACAAGACGAATGGCGTACGATCCCTGTTTCCTACACAAGAATAATTATACAAAATATGTCAGACCGTTTAAATGACTTTATTAAGCAAAAGGGATACTCCATCGAATATTAATTTGCAATAATATGCTGTTGTCGACCATCGCATCCTTCCTTATGTGACAAAAACGCAATATTAATGACGCTACGTTTTGAAGTTGTTGAAGTTATTTAATTTTCTTGTCTACTGGAATAATGTTTTGTTTGTCTTTTTTTTTTTAATATTTTAATATGTATTCTCTGGTAGTACGAAATAGTAAAATAAATTTATATGTATGGACAATGGATTAGGTTTAATAAGCGTTTACTTTTCGTCGAGCGAAAAAAACGCAATGTTAATGAGACTGACTGTATATAAGTATCAGAAGACACTCACACCTGCACAAAGTTTTTACCTAATTAAATTTTTATAATTCAAGGATATTTTGAAGTAAAGTTCTCCCCAGTAACACCTTTAAAAGTTTAACGTAACATAATAATGTCATGACCTCGAACCAAGTCAATAACTTGACTTGACTTACGTTATACCTTTGTAGATAACACGCACATACATAACGTAACATAAAATAGGAAAAATCTATCCCGCCGTTACTTTTAATATAAACTTTTCTCTTTTTCATTTAAATTAACCCAATCCTAATGCAATAAATAAATATATTTATATATATATATATATATATATATATATATAAAAGGAAAAGAAAAAGAAAAGTGAGAAAAAAGCCCAATAATTTTTCTCCCTCTTCATGCACTCACCTCTATTTTCGCTGAATAATCTTCAATTAGTTTCTCTTGTTGTTTAACCAACTCTTCGTTTTTTTCTAATAAAGCTTTTCCTAACTCGGCCGCCAGTAATATATCCGATTCCTTTTGCTGCAACTGAGTCCAGACATCGGTTTCCGGTGTACGTTCATTAGCCGTTGTACGTGCCTCCATCGCTTCAATATATTGCTCTAAATCGATTGAAGCGACACCGTTGCTATTGTTGTTGTTGTT